AGACAATAAGGCTGCACCAGCTTTTACTAGCAGGCTTCTGAACCAGTCTTTGTGATGCCATGAAGTGACTGGATCCAAAGAGCCCATGAAGGGAACGTCTGCTCTGTTCAGTTGCTGCCATCCAGGCTAAGATTTAGCACTAGCCTCTTTTTGTCCCAAATCTGTAGATCCATTACCATCTTTCCTAACATGTCTCAGCCTGCCAAGTGGTGTGATCTGGGGGAAGGCAGAAGCCATGCTGGGTTGCACATCTGGGGAAAGACCTTGGCAACAGGCTACAGCTACAGTGTGCCTCCCAGCAGGGCCTGCTTCAGCATGGGACACAGCCCGTGCTGCACCACCACCACGTTCCTGCTCTGTGACCCAGCCTGGACATCTCGCAGCTGGAGAGAGGCTGTACTGCTGTGTGAGGTCTAGCCCTGAGCAAAGCATTGTATCTGGTTCCCTGTGTTGGCTTGCTGCTCCTGGGTGTGTTTGAGCCGAATGCAAATCCTGGGGAAGGCCAGAACAGCTCCTGATGGTGGGAGCGGGCGGGAGGGGGATGTGCAGGAAATTTTCCTGGTGCCTGCAGTGTACAGGAAAGGAGGTGGCAGGGATCTCAGGGGTCTGTGCAAAGGCTGTGGATGGCAGAGGGAGGGAGGGAACTGGAAGGGAACACCCCAGCATTTGCTTGTAACTACTATCTTGACCCTCTCATTATAGATTTGAAAAGCAAGACTAGGAAAGATGTAAGAGCACAGATTCCCATGTAGGGCACTGTCTGTAGTTGTTTGGTTTTGGGGGTGTATGCATGCATGTGTGAAAGGCAAATTCTGTTAAGTAAATTTCTGGAGAACAAAACCTGGGTGTTGGAGAACTGCATTTCCATAAAGCAGCTAGTGGCTCTTGGTCACAAGATTTCACCACCCGGCTCACAGGGGCGAGAGTTTTTGGCTGCCTCTCCACTCTGCAGTAGGAGTTTTCAGGCATTACAGAACAGATATATATGAACAAGTGATGCAAAGTGCTAGCCTCACTTTGTGTCAGCACATTTCCCACAACATCCACTCGTACTGAAGCTGGACTAATTGGGAAGACAGCAAAGCTGTAATCCACAGAGCCTATTCTGCAGTTTGTTTCTTAATATAGCTTTAACATGCAGGCCAGCTGGTTTCCAATTCTCCATCCTCCTAAATAAGAGGACTGTATTTGATTCCAGAAACCAAATCTGGAACTAATGCCATATGCAGCTTCAGTGACACCTAGCCCCAAAACCGGCTGCATTACAAAGGCGTCTGCAGGAAGTGTATTTCTCATGTCACTCAGCGCCTCTTTAGCAAATGCAGGAGTCATGACTTTGAGCTTCCAGAAGAGTCGTGCTGTGTTTTTTTTATGGCTCTATTAATTTTCCTGGATAAAACTGTTGTACTGGCGCCTGGTATAGGTGATGAAATGCAGGAAAATGGAAGAATTGCTCTGGGATTTGACAAGGATACAGGAAGTCTTGAAGGAAAATGAAATCTCTCTTGGCAGTTTGAATGAATTCTGCCTTTCCCTGACAGTTATTTTACGTAAGTGGTCTGCTGCTCAGTTCAGACTGCTTATTCTGAAGAGCAGTGTGAAGTGCAATTCAATTGCAAACTGCTTATTTCATATTCAGCTTTCAAAGGGATTCTGCCATTCTTTGGTAATGGTACCTGTTCAAATTTCCACCCGTCGGACATAGTGGACACCATCTGTGTGAGCTCTTCCTCTTGGCACTGCAGGACTCTGTACACATGCTTCACAGGTCCCTAAAGCATGGAGGATAAAAATAAGCATGAGTTTAGTAATTTTTATGCTAGTATCAAGCTAGAAAACTAGTAAGCCTCTCCTGCTCAGTCATCTTGTTATTTAAGGAAGTCTGAGCCCCACAGGCTTTCTGAGGTTTCATCCTTCTGATCATCCAACCGATTCTGAAACAGGTACATATGGCTGGCACACTTCTCTTAAAAGGCATCTAAGGGCCAGTGAAAGCAAAACTTCTTGGGCTTTCAAAGCCATTTGCTGCCTTTTAAAAGCATTTCTCTTACAAAATTTAATCTACTGGGTGTGTTAGTATCAGCTGAGCAGTAATAAGAAAAAGTGCCACAGAGAGACAGATATAAAGGGAAGAAAACAGTTCAGAGAAGGAAGAGTTTGAACTATTCTTTACTGACCAGAGCGGTGTTTTGCTTTATAACTACCCATCTCTGCTCCTGGTCCCTCTTGTTTAACTGTTCATTGCCTTTCCCAGCAGCATTAACAAATGACCGAGTGGTCTGTGCTTATGAAACCATACTGGATACTTTCCTAGCTGTGCCCTGGGTCTACCTAAAAGCACTTATTCCCCCTGATAAAGATGACTACTAAACCAAAGAACTGCTACTAGAAGTGTCTACAGCCACACTTGTCCTTCTACTGCACTACAGAAAATGTCTGACTTCATAACACAAATGTTCCTGTGCATTACTTGAGAGGTTCTGTTCTCGTTATCCCGTATCCGCTCCTTCACCAGCCGCACAAGAGATGCAATATTGTAAAACTCGGCTTCTTCCAGTACCCCTAAGAAAGAAACCAGAAGTAGAGACAAATTCTGTTACTCTGTACAGGGTAGAATGAAGATGGTTCTGCTACAAGGATGCAACCTTGATGCAACATGCTCCTGACTCCAAATCTAGTGAGAAAATCCCCAATAGGCTGTGCCACTGATCTCATGCTCCCAAGCTGGAAAAAAATGACCAATTAGCTGTCAGCTCCTTCTATGACTTAGAGGATCTTTAAGAAAGATTATTCCCCTTTCCCTGGGATTATCAGAAACCCCGTGGTACAATCTCTATTTTGTTTGCACAGCCCTGTTATTGGAAAGTCACTGAAGCTGCCTGCTTGTCGAGAACTGCTGTCCATGGGGGGAGAGGAGATGTGCTGACAGATCTTTTGCTCTGCTAACTTTAAGCTAAGCAGAACAGTGATGGGTTGTACTATAAACTGCAGGCCTCTGTTTTCAGGAAGATATAGAATCTAATGATTTAATCCCTGTTAATGAGTATCCTTCTCAGAAACTAACAGTACTAACAGCACTAGAGGGAAATGTGGCTTGCTCACACCTTACACATCGCCACGTCAGGAACCCTGTGCACTCAGGCAAGCTTCTGACAAGGGCTCTCAGATACCGTTATCCAACAGCGTTTGCAGCTCTAAAAAATGCCCTGTATTTTTTCTCTTACCTTCTTCTGCAAGCTCCTTGTTTATGATGAGCTTCCCGTGTCGGAGGTAGTTCAGTATTGGACCAAAGTACGTGGGGTCTCTATCGATGAGATACGCCCCTGTCTCATCCTGTTGAGTGTGTCCAAGAATGAAGTAGGGATGGTCAAGTGGTACCAGGAAAAAAATAATTTCAGTTGAAAACAATGAATGAACATCTTCTCTTTGAGAACATGGATTAATTTGCCCGTGAAATATGTACTGTACATTTAAACCAACATTTTTTTTTTCAATTTTTGAACTTAGCTACAAATGTTGCAGGTCAATAATGGTTCAAGTTAAGCATTTCTGTGATCAGAGTTTATATACCCAGAAAGAAAAGCAGGATTTAGCAGTTTTTCTTCACTGCAATAATGCAAAACAAAAGCAGCAATTGTGTTCTGTCTAAATTTGTTTTCCAGACTAGTTTAACTAGGAGACTCTGGAGGCAAACTGGATCTCCAGGTCTGGCTAACAGCATATGATGGTTTAAGTAGCTCTTTTTTTTCTCCTTTCCACTACTGAAAATGCACACTGCAATACCCCAGCCATGTCTCTGGCAATACTATAGCTATTGCCATCAAATAACCAACAATTCACAACCAAAAGCATTTCTTGAGCCAGCTCTGAAGCCTGTCCTATCACTCCCTTAAATCACTTCAAAGCAATGTTTGTTCTGCCAATCAATCTGCTCTAAGGCCACAAGAAACTGAAAAAACATTCTGAAGTGTCATCTCTACTCACTGATGCTAGCGACTGCTATTTTGATAACAACCAGGATTCATCTTTTGATTAAACTCTGAATGGAGTGGCAAGAACCCTGACTAATTCTCAGTCTGACCTACCCACAAAAGATTTACAAAACTTTGTGCAGCGGATGCTACAGAAAACCTGCAATTATAAGAATGTTTGCAAAATCCTTATGATAAACAATTGGCTCAAAACTAACCACCCATGTAGGGAATGTGCACGGTGATCTTTTATGAGACCATAGTGAAATATATTTAAAAAAATAGTAAGACATGCTCAGGGTGAGAAATCATTAAGATTCCTGTTTCTAGGAAAGCTTCCCTCCAGTTCCCTCTCTGCTGTAGGCACTGTGGGGAGGTGCTGGTTTGCTCCTTGAGGGGACTCATGTCACCATGGAGGGCATCGGAGCCTGCAGCCCCGGGGTGTCACAGGCACAAGGCCAGACTCAGCCCTGTTCTTGGGGACATGGCCAGCTCTGTGGCCATGTGATGGGCACAGAGGGACTCGGAGATGGCGTGTGCCAGGCTGACATGTGCTCCGGGGACCGCGGGAGTGGGGCTGCTGTGGAGATCGGCCCATCCACGCCGCGGGATCTGGGGCTGCAAAGCAGCGTTGGGGATGCCAGTCCTGGGGACACCGGCAGCTGGGGCTGTCACCCAGCCCGTACAGCAGGGTCAGGGGGTGCTGGCCCTGGGGACACCGGCAGCTGGAGCTGTCACCCAGCCCGTACAGCAGGGTCAGGGGGTGCTGGCTCTGGGGACACCGGCAGCTGGAGCTGTCACCCAGCCCGTACAGCGGGGTCAGGGGGTGCTGGCCCTGGGGACACCGGCAGCCGGGGCTGTCACCCAGCCTGTACAGCAAGTCGGTGCGCTGCTCGCCGGTGATACCGGCTGCCATGGGGACTAAGGCGGCTCAAGGAGCGGCTCCCCTGAAAA